CAGCTGTTCATCTGAATTGGCAAAAACCAGGACGTTCCAGGAAGACTGCAGAAAACGAGCTGCCCTGAGATGAGACTACACCTGCAAGATAGGAAAGAGGCACCAAGACTTCATGTGATCTGCTGAACCCAGCAACACTCCCTGTATATAAAAGCCCCACCACCTGCACACCCATGTTTACTGTGGCTTTGTTCACAACAGCAAAGAGCTGGGAACAACCCAAGTGCCCGTCAACAAACGAATGGATAGAGAAGCTGTGGTATATTCACACAATGGAACACTATGCAGCATTGAAAAACAAGGAACTCATGAAATATTATGCAAAATGGACGACCCTGGAGGACATTATGCTGAGTGAAATATGTCAGTGACAAAAGGATAAATAATGCATAGGGCCACTGTTGTAAAACGGGACTGACATCGGGGTTGAGGGAAGACAGAAAAGAAGGAGAAGAATGATGTATACGGCATTAAAACAGATGAGGGAGACAACTGTTTAAAAGGGATATATGATTGGGTATTATTGTCATGACAGGAGTCCAGAATAAAGGGTGCACAGTGGAGTGGACTTGGGGCCCAGCATTGCATAACAATGGAAGAGTTTTACTTTTCAAGAAGAGTGAATTGGGGGGAGGGGTGGGCAGAGAGAAAAGTGCAACAATGAATGAATGGAAACACTAAGTCTCTGTAAACTTTCATTTAAATTATTTTTTTTTAAAGCCCCACTATTAGCAAAGGCTGCAGACCTTTAATTCGAGAGCTCAGCCCACCTGCATCCAGGTGAAAATAAACCAGTTTATTGCATCACACTTAAACCTTGTATGGTTGATTCGAGTATCCTCATTCCCTGTGCCCCACAACCCTGACTCTGGACTCCTCCAAACCTTTAACTTTCTTTTCTTTTTTTAAATATTTTAAGTTTCATAGCAAACCATATTGTATAGATTTGGGGCCTAGGGCCCAGCCTGTTTGAGTACCTCACTCACTTGCCCCCTTCACCGGGCTACCTCCTCCCTCTCCTTCTGCGATCCCCAGGCCCCCTTCCCTCCAGCCTTTGGTCCACCGAGTCCTTCTCCCCAACTGTACACCTACCTCCGAGTTACCTGAGGTATGCGAGTAGATGCCCCCTCCTCTACTGTATAATCTGGCTCCCCGCGGAGGCCCTGGTCAAGGGATGGAACCTGGCCCATCCCTTCCCCGACTTCTCCGGAAACCCTCCCCTCACACTGGAGGAAGGAGTGGACACCCAAGGCCAGCAGTCCGAGGGTCTCCTCTCTCTGCTGAATTTGCTCAGCTTTTCTATGAGATTAAAGGAATTAGAAGCCACCCCCTGAGGGAACTCTCCTATAATTAGGAATGTGATAGGATTAGGGATTTTATATCCCAACCTTAATCTTCCTTCAACAATTCGATTTTTTTTGGAATCTTGATAGATCATTACATAGGTAGCAGATGATATCATCATAATTCATTCATTTTGGGGGGACACAACTCAATCCATGACATTCATATATGGATTTACTTGAAGTAAAGTTCACAATATTGATCAAGGACTAGTATAATCTAACTTGAACTTTTAATGGCATTAAAAATCAAATTGCTCACCAGTTTAAATTAGGTAAATGAAAATCAGATTCTATTTTAATTTTATAATTGTTATTGGTGTCATTGAGTCAAGTGTGACTCAGGTCTGAACCCTGTCCTCTGCTGAGTCACCTTCATCATCTCTGGTATTCTTATCCCATCACTCCAGTCACCGTGCTAATGTATCTTCTCGAGGATCTCCTCCTCTGCTCCACCTTTTAAAAGCATAGTGTCCCTCTCCAAGGAACAGCCTCTCCGAACAACATGCCCAGAATGTGTAAGATGAAGCTTTGCCATCCTTGCCTCCAAGGAGTCCAAGAAAGATCTGTTCTTTTGCCAGTCCATGGGACATTCAGCACTTTTCGCCAACACCATAACTCCAAGGCATCAACTCTTCTCCTGCCACTCTTATTCATTGTCCAGCTCTCAGATGCATAGCAGGTGATCAGAAATACTGGCTTGAATTGGGCTCACCTTAGACTTTACATTGAATCATTGCTCTTTGGGACTTTGGAGAAATACCTGACACCAGACTTTCCCAATTCTGTATTTCCAATCTCCTGACTGCTGGTACCAAGAGTGCTGATTGTGGATCCAAGCAAGACACTATCATTGTCTGTTTCCATCATTTCTCCGTCTATCATGATGATGCCTATTAGCCCCATGGTGAGGATTTTTATGTTCTTGATGTTCAGATGCAATCCATATTGAAGGCTGCAGTCATTGATTCCTCTGCAGCTAGCAACTCATGTCCTCCACGTTTTCAGCAAGCAAAGTTGTATCATCTGAATAACACAGGTTGTTGCTGAGTCTTCTTCCAATCCTAATGCCACACTCTTCTTCCTAAAATCCAGCTTCTCTACCAATTTTGTCAGGATACAGATTTTAGAAGGTATGGAGAAAGGCTACAGCCCTAATGCACATCTTTCCCAATTTTAAACTATGCAGTGCTCCTTAAGAGTTGTATAAACTTATGCATCAAAAGAGGATGCAGAGATATCAAGCAATCAATGAATTTTGAAAGTGGACTTGCGGAAATTAACAGTATAATGCTTCCAGTACTTAAGGAGTAAAGGTGCTCATTAACTAAAGGTAGAAACTGAGGTTTTAGTACTCTGCTCTCTAATGAGATGCCAGGGCAGCTGAAAGTATTATTTGAACACCTTTCTTTTGTAAGATAGCTTATTTTTTAATTGCCATGCTGCACCTCAAAGTTTAAAACTAGCACTGATGCAGGAGTACAGTAAAGCTATCTAAAAATGTAGTGCTTTAATTAGAAAGCAAACTCACCATGTTGATGGGGGAAACGCGAGTGAATGAAAAGACATTTTAAAATGACTGGAAACAAGGCACTGAAAGATGTTCCAGTCCCGCTTTTTGGAAGTTATCTTCCATAGGGCAAAACCAGACACTATAATTAGTCAAAAGAAATGAAAATATAACATTTTTTCTTGTGGGCTCATCATTCACAAAATATTGCAGATATGACTGTATCTTGGAAGCAGGAGTGACATCCACTTCCTAAACAACATGGCTCTGGAAACTCTATGAACTTTGATAAATGTCGATAGTTGTCAAGGGGCTTCTGGCCTTTTGTTAATAGGGTCGCTATGAGTCGTGCTGAACTCTAAGTCAATCAACAACAACAATAACAACATAACTATGTCAGTAGTTTCATCTTTTGATTTTTTTAAACATACATTGTGTTTTACACAATCTTTCATTTACATTGTGTTTCATATAATCATTTATATACATTCTATTTTATATTATTTTTAATTGGTTTGCTTACAAAGTTTAAACACATTATCTTTCTCCCTATTCTTCATTCACATTATGTTTCATACTTTTCATGCATTGTTTTATAATATCAATCACCATCGGACCTTGCCCATCATTACCGTGTGTCTTTTTGCCAGAGCCTTCCCATTTGCTTCCCCTTGTCCCTCCACCCACCGAACTGTGCAACCCTGTGGTTTCACCCCTACCTATCCTCACCCTTCCACTACCCCCTTCACCCCCTTGAATTCCTTTACATGTTTTACTAGTTATCCTTCTGTTTTTACAATAATGGTCTTATGAAGTATTCGTCCTTATGAGACTGACTTGTTAGTTCACTCAGCATAATGCTCTCCAGCCTCTCCCGAGTTACATAATAGTCTTCAAAATCATTGCTCCTAATTGCATACAGAATAGAGCAAGAATCCTGAGGTAGAATTACAGTCATTGTGGTAAAACACCTTTTTTTCCCCTAAAACTAGATTATTCCTTTTATTCTCAGAGGAAATGAATAGCTGATCTTTGAAAATCACATTTAGTATCAGAACCTTAAAAAACTATGTCCTAAAAAAAACCCAAACAAACAAACTATGTCCTAAAAAGGATCCTTTCCCTCTGTTCTTCCAGGAAAAAGCACTATTTGACATTCCCTAGTCTTGAGATAGTCACCAACAGTGAGTCTTGCACTTCTCATGCACAGTAGAAAAAAAAAATATAAGTGAGGTTCAATGACATTAACAAGCCAGGTGGGGCCTGAGATGCCCTCAACTGTGTGGATCCAGGCCCAGGGAAAGAGGCTAATCAGGATGTCAGTCTGCACACCTGTAACCTGTTTCTATCAAAGCTGTGGGTGGAGATCTTTCCAAATGCTGCAAATTTTGGTCAAACCTTTAAATTCAGAGCAACTTATAATGGTGAAAGGAGACTGGGCTCAGCCAGGGCTGCGTAACATGGAGCAACAACTTCCTGATACAGTCGTTTTTAACATTCTCTCCTTCCTGGATATAAAGAACTTGCTCCAGGCTTCCCAAGTGAACAAGGTAAAGCCCTTCACCCTCAGCTGCTCTGATGAACTGACCAGTGTGTATTCCCCCCTTCCTACCTTGCTCACTTTTTCACCAGCCCTGGGATCATTCTACTCCAGCATCACACCCAAACAGCCTCCCCTAATCCTTCTGCTTACCTTGTTCTGAATCCAGACTCACACATTCTACTCTGATACACCAGTGTCCTTGGTGCTCAGTGCCCTCTCCCAGGGAATGTGAGCACCAATTTTCAGAGTACCAGGGTGATAAGTTGTAGGGTTAGCATCATTCACTCTAAAGGTCAAGTTGTATGTCATGAAGATTGCTATATGAATGTGTTGCTATCCTAACTAGGTGGTCCTTGAGCCCTTATTTAGATCCCTAGGAAATTCACATTCCTTTCTTGGAACTCACAGGAAGACCAGTTTTAGCAGAGATAGGTCTCCATTATGAAGAGTCATCTTTTCCCAGTCACTCTCTGATTGTGAGGGCTCGGAGAGCAGGGATCTTGTCTGATTCACCTGTAGCCTCTGCTCCTAGAACAAAACGGTAGCAAATCAGTCAAGACGAGGGATCTTATTGACTGCTTTTCTCTTCCTTTCTCTCCCTTAGCAATGGCATGCTCTTGCAGAAAGTGGGAGGATGTGGCGGTGAGTAAAGAAGGGGTAGAATAAGGGAGGTGGAGGATGTCCCTTGGGGAGAGGAAGACTATGTTTGTGCACTTGCTGGAGACATCTAGCCCTGTGTTCATAAAGGTTTTAGTGAGTAAAGGGTTCCTGTGAGGTCATAGTGGTCCATGGAGACAGGGAGAATATCCAGGGAAGCCTGATGGGAGTATGACTCTGATTCCAGAATTATGTGTCTGAAGCAATGGTCCTTCTGCCATTACTCTTATGAAAAGCCAAGGAGAATGACATGGAAGCAATTCTACTTCAACCAAGAAAAGCAGGAACGTTGCTTGACATTGGCTCAGCCACAGGACTTTATGTATAAGGAATCTCAGAAGGTCGAAGGTATGTAAAAAGTGGCCTGGAGATGCATGATAGACGTATTTCCCAGAATTTTCTTTTCCACACCTGAATGAACTTCTGGGGTTTAATTCCATGAAGGGAATCCTAAAACCTGCTCTTACCAAGTCTGATTCATAGTGACCCTGTAGGAGAGAACAAATCTTTAAGTCCTTCTAACTCTAAGGCTTTCTGGAAACAGACGGCTTCATCTTTCTCCCATGGAGTGCTGGTGAGTTCAAATCATCGATCTCTCTGTTTTGATTGACTTCATAGCCTCTTTGTTTCTTTTCTTGTCCATTTTATGCTGAAAGTAAGTCAGAATGATCTATTTATAGTAAAATTTAAAAAAATAATAAAATCAAGCTTCATTACTCCCTTTATCTAGACACTTCTCCAGTCCCATGTAGAATGAAAATCAAACGATAAAGGAATTAGGGAGCAACTTTGATAATCTAACTTGTTATACTGGGAAAATCTGCTGTCAAGGACCTCTTGGAAATGCTAAAAAGCAATGATGTCAGTTTAAAGATTAGGGTGCACCTAATCAAATCCATGGTTTCCTCAGTTATTTTGGTTGCATCTGAAAGTTGCACAAGAAATAAGAATTGCAGAAAAATAATTTATGCTTTTGAACTATGGAAGAAGAGTCCCGTATATCCCATGGTCTGTCAAAAGAGCAAACAGATGTCTTTTGGAAGAAGTGCAATAGAGTACTCTTTTGAAACAAGGATGGTACTAACACTTCTCACATACTTTGGGCATGTTGTCACGAGAGGCCAGTCCTAGGAATAAGAAATCATGCTAGAAAAAGTAGAGAGTCAGAGAAAGCGAGAAAGACCCTCAACAAGATGTGTTGACACAGAATTTGTGACAATGGGCTCAGGTACACCAGGAATACTGAGTAAGGCACAGGATAGGGCAAGTTTCAAATCTTAACTTTGCTCACAAGGTTGATTCGATGGCACCTAATAATAGCAACAACAATGCTTTTTCCCCCTCTCCCCCCTTTTAAAAAAAAATTTGTACTGGTTTACATTATAAAACATTACTACAAGAAACAAAAAGACATGGAGAAGTGGAAGAATATCCCTTGTTCATGGATAGGGAAGACTCAATATTGTGAAAATGGCATTACTACCAAAGGCAATTTACATATTTAATGCAATCCCAAAACAAGTACCAATCCCATTCTTAGAGATGGAAAAGGCAATCTCCAGTTTCATTTGGAATGGAAAGAAGCCCCGAATAAGCAAAGCACTCCTTAAAAATAGAAGAAAGGCAGGAGGCATCTCACTCCCTGATGTCAAATCCTACTACACTGCCATGGTGGTTAAGATCATATGGTACTCGTTCAATGACACACACATAGATCAATGTAATAGAATTGAGAACCTGGAAATCAGCTCATCTATGGTCAACTGATATTTGACAATGAGATTAAATCAGTTAAGTGGGGAAACAACAGCCTTTTTAACAAATGGTGTTGGCAAAATTGGAAAAGTATCTGCAAAAGACTCAAGCAAGACCCACACCTCACTTCATATACAAAAACCAACTCAAGGTGGATCATGGACCTAGGACTAAAACCAAGGACTATAATCTTCATTAACGAAAAGCTTGGAAGAACGCTAGGAGTCCTAGTCCACAGCATAAGCAGTCTTCCAAGTATCCCGAAAAACCTACAACCAGGAGAAGATAAAATAGATGAATGGAACCTTCTAACAATCAAATTCCTATGAACATCCAAAAACTTCTCCAACAGGGTAAAAAGGGAAGCACCAACTGGGAAAAAGTATTTGGTAATGACATATCAGATAAGGACTTATATCTGGAATTTATAGAATACTTGAGCAACACAACAAGACAAAGGTAAATAATCCAATTGAAAAATGGGCACAGGCTATGCACAGACTCTTGACCAAAGCAGACATTCTGACAGCCAACAAGTACATGAAGAAATGTTCAAAATCCCTAGTTTTGATGCAGATCAAAACAGTTAGGAGATATCATCTCACCCCAGTCAGAAAAGCAAAATTTAACAGAACAGCAAGCAACAAATGCTGGTGAGGTTGTGGAGAAACTGGAACCCTTATTCACTGTTGGTGGAAGTGTAAAATGGT